AAAACTATCATGTCCCACGGAGAATGGCAGAGATTAGAGCCACCCTTCAGACCTAAAAGACACAGAGGTGATGATCTCCAGCCGATTTTCAATTAATTCCCCGGTCTAGCTCCTATAGAAGCCAGTCAAATCCTGGAGGACTGACGCCGTACTTTTCATACAGAGAGTATAGCAGCTTACATTTACGCTCTTGTCCCAGGACCATGTTTTCTCTCTCATCCTCGGTCATGATACAATCTGCAGAGCCTGAACCATCTGGACTTTTTGCAGAACGTCACATTGGTTTACTCCATCAACGATACCATTTTAATCAGACAAGAGGAGTAAGAAGTGGCAAGTGCATCGGAGACCTCACACTTCACAGGGTGGGGGTCCTACATAATCCTACAAAGGTTCCCTGCCATATCAGTAAAGGTTTTAGGGGCACAGTAGTTTGGAGCACGGCAGGATAGCGCTTCCAATGGGAAGGTCAAATTATAGCATCTTGACCCTCACACCTCTAAAAGGAAGCACAGGTCCTCACACCTCTAAAAGGAAGCACAATGCAATGCAAGTGGCCCTGCCACGTGGGCCATATGACCCGGCTGACCCTTTGGTACCAGGGTGCCCATCCGCATTAGAGAATTACAAACCATTCAGAAACCAACTTCTACAAGCCACTTGGCCTCATAGAGGTAAGACTCCTGATCGTGAGATATCAAAATGTAATGGGGCCAGAGATGCCCATTGTGAGCCAGATTCTGAAAGGCTCGTTTAGTCATAAGGTTGAGCAGGCCCAGCACAATACATCAGAATATGGAAGTGACACGGCCCGGGATTGAACAGAAGTCAGGGATGGAGAAAACAAAACAGCTGGGTGACCTGGGGGCCCAGCCCCCAGGTCAGCCTCCACTGGTGCACTCACGCCTCTCCCTCAGCTCACAGCTGATCACATGGTCAGGAAGAGGTTGTTACTTAAGACCTGTCAATAGAGGAAGGTAAAGGCTAGTCTTGGTTCACCAGTAGTTTAGTTCAATTATGTGGTAGTAATTAGTTAAGATAAAATCATACTGGTGTCCTTATAAAAAAAAAAAAAAGGCAGGGGGGGCCACCTGGGTGGCTCAGTCGGTTAAGCGTCTGACTTCAGCTCAGGTCATGAAATCACCGTTTGTGGGTTTGAGCCCCACCTTGGGCTCTGTGCTGACAACTCAGAGCCTGGAGCCTGCTTCAGATTCTGTGTCTCCCTCTCTCTCTCTTCCTCCCTTGCTCTCTCTGTCTCTCTCTCTCTCTCTCTCAAAAACTTTTTTTTGAGAGATTAAAATGAGAGATTAAAATGTCTCTCTGAAAGATTTTTTTTTTTATTTAGAAAAATAAAGGGGAAAATTGGACACAGAAATGCACATGTGAAGAACACCTTGTGAAAGTAAAAGGAGAGAGCAAGGTGATGCTGCTACAAGCCGAAGAACCCCAAAGATTGCCAGCAATCCACGGGACGCTGGGTGAGAGGCACGGAATGGATTCTTTCCCACAGCCCTAGCAAACTAACGCATCACATATTATCACGTTAGAGAAATGACCAAATGTGGAGCAAAAGAGTTATAGCAGAGGTGATAAGGCCATGCAGTTTCCTGGTTTTCTCAAATACAACACCACCCAGAAGCGGCCAGCCTGAGGTACGGATCAATGATACAGCCCCTTAAAGAGGTGGCTGTAATGCTGCTTGGAGATGCTGCCTTGCAAAAATGAGTCACCGTCCACCGGGGCGGAGTAGTACACGTTCTGAATCAATGACCGTTGTGTGTGCGGTCCCAGTGGTGGAGCATATGGATCTGGAACTCAAGAGATGGAAGTAGGAGCGACCTTGTTTCCCATCACTCACATTAAATCAGGCGCCATTTTCAGGTGTCCCATCACCACAACCCAAGGCTCTGCAGGTCTGGCCACCCCGGGTGGGGACTGCTCCCACTAGGGACTACGGCAAGAACTGCATGACCAGCGAAGGCTGGTCGTCTCAAAGACTTTTTTTGCTGAGAGAACAGCGGGCAAAAAAGCGTCACTCTCCTGATCATCAGAAGGAAATAGGACGCGGGGAGGGGGGTGCCCAGGAAGAATATATTTGGCACCCAAGTGATCCACTGGCGCCTCTCTTGGTACTTTCCTCTTTTGGTACTTGGTACTTTTGACAGTGGATGGACAAATGCAGAAACCACAGCTGAGCTGAGAAAGGCCTTGTGAGGAAGGGTCCACAGAGCCAAGATGAAGGTCTGGAAAGGCTGAGCAGGTAAGCCACCCGAACGGCAGAGGTGCCCAGGTAAGGGGAATGGAGAAGGAGTCGTAAAGGGAGATAGTTGCCATCCCAAGACAGATGCAGTGATGGGGCTTCGTTTGCTCACTATCTTTCCTCTTATACGTTTCTTCAGGAAAAAAATCCTGGAGGATTCAGGGAGCATTTTAGACCAAGCAAGTGGATTGGAGTGGTGCAAAATATTGCCTGTCGTGGAGGCTGTGGTCCCCTGGCCAGAGCCCGGCCTTCAGGACCAGGGTGTTCATTCCTCCAGCTTTCAGGAGCATTGCCTGCATAAGACTTGTAGCTGAGATTCCCCCCAAAGACTCACCCCCAGCCAGAGATAACTGCCTCACCTGAGAGTGCTGCAGAGAATCGGTCTAATTCATGTTTCGCGAAGATGATACCCTCTCTTGTCCCTCTGAGGCATAAATAATCATTTTGAAATAGGTTTTGGTTTGTTTTCTTATCTTTAAAGTATCCGTTTTCTCCGACTCCCTACTTTTTTTTTAAATTTGATTTTCTTCTTCGCCTTCACAGTTGGTATTTCCCTTCACACATATCAAATATTGGATAAGCCCTCGGCAATCTGTCCACATGAGGTGTCCGACCCTCTGAAGGGCTCTTGCATCTGGTGGATTTACTCTGGAGCTACTTTGGCTAGTCATTCTGCTAGATGAAATTCATCACCACAGCCACCCCCCCCCCACCACCCTTTTTCATAGATATGTATTGTTTTTTCTCTTGAGCTGATAGGTTTTCCCAAAGAGGACCCATCCACTCTCCTGTGTATTTGAGGGGTGGGTGCGTAGGATATAGGCCTGGCATGGTTCCTAGGTTTGGGAGTGGGTAAGGGACTCCCATAGTCAGTGTATAGACTTTGACTACCTTTCTGATTGCTGGGTGGCACTCTGTCCCATAACATCACCCTAGTCCCTGAGTCCAGAGTCCCTCTGAGTCAATGTCTTCAGAGAATAAACCTGGAGTCAGTTAAGAGTGGTGACTGGGGGGGCGCCTGGGTGGCGCAGTCGGTTAAGCGTCCGACTTCAGCCAGGTCACGATCTCGCGGTCCGTGAGTTCGAGCCCCGCGTCGGGCTCTGGGCTGATGGCTCAGAGCCTGGAGCCTGTTTCCGATTCTGTGTCTCCCTCTCTCTCTGCCCCTCGCCCGTTCATGCTCTGTCTCTCTCTGTCCCAAAAATAAACGTTGAAAAAAAAAAATTAAAAAAAAAAAAAAAAGAGTGGTGACTGGGCTGCAGCGGGCTGGAGGAAAGAAACGTGCTGTAAATGCCTTCAGCCAATCCCCCTGCTTCCACGTCCCCAGCAGCTTCCTTCAGCGTGGCTGTGGCCTCCGGTTTTGAACTTTCTGAAATTGTGCCGCATGAATTGCTTTGCGCCTCAGTTTTCCCTCACCTGATTTCTATTCCGGATCTCCCTACTCTGCCAAGTCAGTGACCTATCACTGGTCCCTCGGTTTGCTGGCTTCTACCCATTCTCTTTACCCTTGTGTGCTGATGCCTCCCCCCCCCCCCGCCCCCTTTCGCCGTCACTCAGTAAGATTTCAGGAAAGCTCAGAGGGAAATGCACGTGTTCAATTACCATGTTTCACTGGAAGACGTTAGCCTGTTTTATAGATGGGGAAACTGAGGCCCAGGTTTCAGGATTGGCAAGCTCTTCCGTGCTTCCTCATCCAGTGCTGGAAGAAGGGAGAGAACAGGATAGCTCCAAGGGTCACCAGATCAAAGGGAGTCTCTTCTGGACGGGGGCATTTGGATAGATTTAAGTAGGGGAGGAAGAAGAACAAGAGGGGATCGGCCTATAGATATTTCTAATCTACAAAATGCTCTTTTTATTATTGTTTCAACGGAAGCATACCTAAAACATAATTGCCTGATCCTTGGAGTGATATTGATAGCTGTATTACTTTCCTATTACAGCTATAACAAATGACCACAAATGTAGTGACTTAAAGCAACGCAAATTTATTATCATAGACTTCTGGAGGTCCAAAGTCTAAAATCAGTCTCACCGGGCTGAAGTCGTGCGTCCGCAGAGCTGGTTCCCTCTGGAAGCTCTGGGGGAACATCTGTTCCTTTGTCTTTATGAGCTTCTAGAGCTGCCTGCGTTCCTTGGCTCATGGCTACTTCCTCCATCTTCAAAGCCCATCACTGCAAGCTCTCCTGCCATCATTAAATCTCCTTTTTCTCACTTTGACATTCTTGCCTCCCTTCTGTAAGGACCATTGTGATTATGTTGGGCCCATGCAGATAATGCAGGATAAGCGCCTCATCTCAAGATCTTTAAAAAAAAATTTTTTTTTAATGTTTATTTATGTTTCAGAGAGACAGAGACAGAATGCGAGGGGGTTAGGGGCAGAGAGAGAGGGAGACACAGAATCCGAAGCAGGCTCCGGGCTGTCTGTCAGCACAGAGCCTGACATGGGGCTGGAACTCACGAGCTGTGAGATCCTGACCTGAGCCGAAGTCGGACGCTCAACCGGCTGAGCCACCCAGGCGCCCCTCAAGATCTTTAAAGTAATCACACCTGCAAAGTCCTTTTTGCCTGTGGCATATGCACACGTTCTGGGAACTAGGACACGGATAAGTTTGGGGGGTCATTATTCTGCCTACCACAATAACTTTCTGATAACACTCATGACCCTCAGTTCTTGTCAAGATGTGGCGTCTATCGATATCTATAGATACCGATAAATGAATGAGTGGATGAATGAATGAGGAGCTTTTAGTGAGTCATCAAATATTTATTATTGGGTCCATTATCTGCTAGGTTATGTTTTAGACTATCTGCTAGGGAGATCTAGGAAACTAGTGTTTATTCTTACAAACTTGACCCTGCACGGTCTGAAAGCATGTTCTGTGTCGTACTAAAATGGCAACCAGTTCATTGATTACCGTGGAACTGAGACAAAAGAAGACAAGCTTATCGCCATCTTCCTTCTTCTAACCATTTGGCTATGAAAACGACAATGATACAAATACCGCAGAGAAAGTAGAACAGGCTCAATCTCTCCTCATCAACGAAGTAATCTTGTTGCACTACCGGAGTGTATATGGGATACCTGTTTGGAACATTTCTGGGTGAACTTCTCCAGGCAGCTTGAGTTCCACTGGAGGCCGAAAACCCATGTGTGGCCACGGAGTCTGTCCACGTGAGCTGTAGGTTTGACCTAGAGGGGACTGTTCTCCCTATAGTCTGAGTGTCTGACCCTGATGTAGCCTTTGGGATTGCCCTCAACGTGGTCTTTGGGTCTGTCCCCCGTGTGGCCTGCACACCTGCCCCTTGTGTGGCTTGTGAGCATGCCTGCTGTGTGGACTGTTGTCCTACCCTCCTGACAACCTCAGAGTATGTCCTGCAGGGGGCCTGTGGTGCTGTCCCCCGTGTGGATTGTAAATTTCCCTGTGCAGCCTGCCTGTCGGAACTTGGGGTGAGCTGCCTGCTGGTCTCCCCTTTGGGCTCAGCAGTGGTGTGGCTGGGCCCTGATGCCTTATAGACATAATAATACCCATTCCATTGGCTTTGGCTGAACACATCACCGGTGGGAGATGAGGAACCAGTGGGAGAGAATGGGGATACTGATGGCTCCGTCGTGTTGTTTCGCAATCTCAGTAAGCAGAAGCCCAGAGAGCAACCTTCACAATTGTTCGTGTCATGGGAGCCATCCAAAGGCACCTCCCGAATGATCGGTAGCTCTGAAAGCTTCTTAAAGTCATAGAATTTCTTCAGAATACGCAGCACCACGTTTTTCAGAATCCTCATGGTACTCTCTGGGGAGAACTCAGGGTTCTCAAATCGAGACCAGGAACACTTCTTGCACCTCTGAGCAAAGAGGCGCATAATCACCTGACCCTGGGATTTGTGGGACTCCAGGTGCATGTGACATAGGATATGCACTTGAGCAGAAGCCCAACTCCGCTGGCATGAGGAACACTGGAACCTGCAGATAAAAGGAACAAGGCCGTGTGCCTTCAGGTGATTGCTGACCCGAAGCAGGTTGGCCTGCCTGGCCTCAGTCCCTGAGATCTCTTCCAGTTTGAAAACGTCCATATGATATTGACACCTTGCCAAATAAGAATGAGAGGGGTGGGCGCCAGGGTGGCTTAGCCAGTTAAGTGTCCACCTCTTGATTTTGGCTCAGGTCATGATCTCACAGTTCATGGGTTCAAGCCCCTGTCAGGCTCCGTGCTAACAACTCAGGGTCTGCTTGGGGTTCTCTCTCTCTCTCTCTCTCTCTCTCTCAGAATGAATGAATAAACATTTAAAAAAAAAAAAAGGATGAAAGGGATTGTGTTTTTAACAAAGCTTTTTCCTGTGAGCCACCATAGCGTCTATCCTATGTGGCCCCACGTTTGCCTCTTTGCTAGTAAAATATCTCTGGGTGTCTCACGGGGAGGGGTCCTTCTGCCCCCTGCCAGTGAGATTTAAAAAATTTTTTTGTAATATTTATTCGTTTTTTGAGAGAGATGGAAAGAGAGAAACAGAGCGCAAGTGCGGGAGGGGCAGAGAGAGAGGGAGACACAGAATCCGAAGCAGGCTCCAGGCTCCAGAGCCTGACGAGGGGCTCAAACTCACAAACCATGAGATCGTGACCTAAGCCAAAGTTGGATGCTTAACTGAGCCACCCGGGGAACCCTAGCATCCCATTTGTGGTTTCCACTCAGGTTAAGGGAGGAAGCCTAGTAAAAGAAGAAACTTCCTGCGTTAAACAAAATGGAGGCATTTACATACTAAAGAACACTGTGCAAAGGGAGATCCTGGTGACCCTTGTTCCTTTAACATGCTCTGGAAGGAACCCAAGGATGCTGCTGAGGCTAAGCTGGCCTCTTCGTCCAAGAATGCCCACTGAAAGGCAAACTCTCACTCACCTGCCGAATCCTTTCAGCTCGTATTGCTTCCACCCTTCTGCAAGGCAGTTTGGATCGAGATTCTTATCCAACTTCAGGGTCCATCTGGCCCGGGGTTTCTCCTGCTGCATCAGTTCTTGAAATATCTGCTCCCATGTCCCAACATCTAAAACCGTTTTCTTCTCCTGAGGCTGGGGAGCCATGCCTGGTGAGTAACTCAGTTTTATTTGGCAACTTGCAAGAGGGGAAAGAGAAAAAAAAAAAAAAAAAAACACATCAGTTTCAGTTTCTCTGTCAGGAGCACACGTCAGCTATTTTCTTAGGTTTCGTTTTAGACTGAGTACACAGAACAGGTCTTTGTTCAGAAGACAGAGGGCAGCAGAGTTTTGCTAGTTTGTGAACAGAACTCTCTAAGAGATATCTGAATGCAGAGCTCTGTTCTAGATTCTGGGGGCATTTGTAAGTTACCTAAGTATTTTCATTTTCTCTTATTTTTACACGAGGCCAAGCACTTTGCTCGGCTCTGGGATAAATACCACTGACTAAGAAAGCAGCTTCTACCCCCACAGACGCTCACATTCTCATGCAGACATGGGAAGGTAGTGTGGGAGCGTGTGGTCAATGTTGGTCTCATGCACCCAGTAACTCTGGAGTTTAAACTCAAATGGGAGAGATAAGACAAGCAGGACCTCATGTCCTTGGAAGCCCCACTAGGGCTACTGTGTCCCAAATGGGATCAGTCTAAGCCTTCTCTGGCTTTCTAGATTTTAACATGTTCCCCTTCTTCCTTCCCAGCCTAGGGGCACCTGGATGACTCAGTCAGTTAGGGAACCAACTCTTGATGTCAGCTCAGGTCATGATAGCACAGTTCATGGGCTCGAGCACCCTGTCAGCCTCTGTGCTGACAGCACGGAGCTTCCTTGGGATTCTCGGTCTTCCTCTCTCCCTTTACCCCTCCCCCTTGCTCTCACCCTCACTCCCTCTCTCAAAATAAATAAATAAACTTAAAAAAAAAAAGCCTGGAAAGCCCTTTAAGCATCAACTTTTTCTCTTTATGGCAGTCATCCACTTGATAATTTATTTCTGTAGTTACTCGAGCTTGGGGGTAGAAGGGGCTGGAAGGATTTGGTTTGATCAAAGGAGAGAAACAAGAAACTAGAAATGTAGTCCCTGATGTAACAATAATTTTACTTCAATTTTAAGCATCTCTTCGACTCCCAGAAACTCTATAGGTATATGCAGAACAGATAACAGAAAATTTTGAAGGAATAATCTGGGGAATAATGAGGCTGGATGACCCCTAAGCTAAGTCCATATCTCCTGCTTTGGGGATTCAGAATAAGGAGAAATGAGTACTAGAATTGGGGTCCCTGCTTGTGGGTGACACCAGCCATATCTTTACCTCCTGGACCCCAGGACCACTTGTTGAATGAGTGGCAGAGTGGAAGACTTACATTTCTCTGAGGCCACACTGAATCCCAGGAAAGTGTGGGCTTGTCTAAAGGAGGGGTTGAGGGGCACCTGGGTGGCTCAGTCAGTTGAGTATCCGACTCTTGATTTCGGCTCAGGTCATGATCCCAGGGTCGTGGGTTTGAGCCCCACATCAGTCTCTGCACTGAGCATGGAGATTGCTTGGGATTCTCTCTCTCTCCAATAAAATAAAATTTTTTAAAAATTAAAAAAAAAAGAGGAAGGAATGGTTTTCTAATGGTAGAAGAATAGGCAGAAGGTAGAAGGAGCAATTTGGGGAAATCCAAATGGGGGTCTTCAATCTGCTCTTCTGAGGGTTGCCCTCTCTGGGCTGGGACTCCTGGACATATCCTAGGAAGGACTGTTGGTCCAGTGAGGACTGCTTCTCAACCAAAGATCAGCCTAGAGAGGAGGAAAGGTGTTGAAATCATATTGTCATAGAAGAACGTAAGGGAAGGGGTTGGTTCTCCACACCACTGCCCCTATGCTGCATGATTATGGCTGTTCACCACTACGTAGAACAGGGAAGGCAGAATTAGACAGTTGTCTTTAAAAGAACAAATAACACATCTATTACGTACCGTCATCTCTTCGTCCTCATTCTCAGGCTATCAGGAAAGACAGATATATACCTTCACCGTCCCTGTCTCACTTTTCTCCACTTGTCCCTTCAGCTCAGAGCACAGACCAGAGCCAGCCCACCCAGGTTTGGGTACTCGTTCCGCCACTCTCTCCCTTGGAGGCTCAGGGAAGCGCCTTCACTTCCCTGTACCTTGGTTTCTGCGTCTAAAAGATGGGGATAATAATACCACCTACCTCACAGGGCTGTGCTGAGGATCGAATGAGTTGAAAAATAGTTACCAGCGCTTAGCAAGCAGACAGAAGCGTTTGCAATTTGTTGTTGTTGCTGTATTACAGGTTTCCTTGTTATGTTATCCTTAAAGCCTTTCCTAAATATGTTGAGGATAAAAACAAAGCTAAATTATATAGAATATATATATTATTATATATATGTATAATATGATTATGTATATGTGTGTGTATACATATATATACATATACATATATACGTATACGTATATATATGTATATATATATTACATAGTATACAGGATGAAAAAAACTACAAATAAAAGTGCACATAAGGACTCAGAGAGCTCAACAGCCCCTTAAGAATTCAGACTGGGCATGGGGCGCCTGGGTGGCTCAGTCGGTTGAGCGTCCGACTTCTGCTCAGGTCATGATCTCGCGGTCTGTGAGTTCAAGCCCCGCATTGGGCTCTGGGCTGACAGCCTGGAGCCTGCTTCAGATTCTGTGTCTCCCTCTCTCTCTCTCTGCCCTCTCCCGCTCATGCTGTCTCTCTCTGTCTCTCAAAAATAAATAAACTAAAAAAAAAATTTTTTTTTAAAGAATTCAGACTGGGCAGGGATATGAATTCCTATCACTATATGTTCCTAGATAGATCCATTCCTAGATATTCCAGATATGCATTCAGGACTGTCATCCTGCTGTTATGTAAGCCCCAGCCCCACTCTGGGACGTGCTTGGGTGAAGTCAGTGCTCCCCGAAGACTCACATCCAGGCCCCGTCCTGATAGCCAGCTACCTGTAAAAAGTGAGCCAAGAAGCAAAGCAGTGTGAACCCCAGAACCAACTGCTGCTCAGGCCCAGGCCTAGGCCCCCTGAGAACGCCATTCCAGAGAGCAAAAATCACACCAGAAGGACACTAAATAAATAAATAAATAAATATCCTAGAAAGAATCAGAAGAACTATGTAAAGTCAGAACAACTCAAAACCTCACAAGTTTTCAGGGCGCCTGGGTGGCTCCATCAGTCAGGCATCCGACTTCGGCTCAGGTCATGATCTCAGGGTCCGCGAGTTCGAGCCCCGCGTCGGGCTCTGTGCTGACCGCTCGGAGCCTGGAGCCTGCTTCGGATTCTGTGCCTCCCTCTCTCTCTGCCCCTGACCCACTCGCATTCTGTCTCTGTCTCTCTCAAAAATAAATAAACATTAAAAAAAATTAAAAAAAAAAAACTCGCAAGTTTTCAAAGGGGGAGCTTACTTCACAATTTCTGTGAAAATGTATTTGGCTTCAGGCCTCACGCGGTCCATGCAGGATGCTGGGGTGTCCCCCCATAGGCACCCATTTGGATGTTAGGAGTAGAAAAGATCTTCCGTGAGCTTGAAGAAAGCTGAGCCCCAGAGAGGAAGGTGACCAACCACAGGCCACCCAGAAGCCCCTGCGAGTAGAGCCCACGAGTCCTATTCTTTTTTTTTTTTTAATTAATTTATGTATCTTGAGAGAGAGAGAGAGAGAGAGAGAGAGAGGGAGAGACAGCACGCATTCTAGCAGGGGAGGAGCAGAGAGATACGGAGAGAGAGAATCCCAAGCAAGCCTCCAGGTGGTCAGCGCAGAGCCCAATGTGGGGCTCGAGCCCACAATCCGTGAGATCGTGACTTGAGCGGAAATCAAGAGCCCTTTGCTTAACTGAGCTGCCCAGGCGCCCCCTACCCCCACATTCCCATTCTTGACAGCACTTCCTCTTTTGCACTACAGGCAGCCTTAAAACCAGAGTCAGAACTAGTCAGGCCCTATTCCAAGGCTGTGGTGAAGATAAAGATATGTTAAAGCAGGGTCTTTAAACCCTTCCACCCACACAGCACACCAGTGCCGGAAAACCAGCAGGTTAACGCCACACGGTTCACTGGCTTTTCTCCTGTCCCTGACTCACTTTACCCACTTGTTCCAGCCCGCGGGGATCACCTCTCGAATTAACCACCTACACCACGCTCTGATCTCGGGTGTGCATCCTGAACCCCAACCGAGACAAAGAGCCCAAGTAACTTTTCTTCACTTCCCTCCTTTGTGTACAAAGGCATTTTCTGCTCTGGCGCATAAGGAGCTGAGAAGACATCGCTGCCATCCTCACAAGAAAAAAGCTCAACAAACTGAAAACGAACCACTCTTCTTAGATTCACTAGAGAATTGGGGACGCGGGGCAAACTGCTACCCAGACAACTGGAGAGACAAACAGGGGGACACAGAGGATCACAGCTTACCAGAGCCAAAAGCCCAGGAGCAGAAGCCACCACAGCTGGAACTAGTACTGGCCGGAACACTCGAAACTGTCATCGGCCAATTGCTGGGGGCTCAACGAAAACTAGCTTAAGAATTGAAAATCCAGGAGGGCCCAGTCTTAGAAGAGATCCCCATCCTTTCGTGAATTCTATCTCCCAGAACCCCACGAGGTCTCTTCACTATGAAGACGGACAAAATTCTTCTTGTGCTTTCAGCAGGGGAAGGAGGAAAATAACCATTTTTTAAAGATACCCAGGGGGACGCCAGGGTGGCTCAGTCGGTTAAGCGTCCGACTTCGGCTCAGGTCATGATCTCTCCGTTCCGGAGTTCGAGCCCCGTGTCAGGCTCTGTGCTGACAGCTCAGAGCCTGGAGCCTGGATTCTGTGTCCCCTCTCTCTCTCTGTCTCTGATCCTCCTCTGCTCTCTCTCTCTCTCTCTCTCTCAAAAATTAATAAACATTTAAAAAAATTAAAAAACCTAAAGATACCCAGACCTCTCTGTTCCTAACAAGGTCTTCTGTCAAGGAAAGCTATGTCACCAAAATCACACTTGGATTTTATAAAAGCCTAACTGACCCGAGGGGTGGGAAATACCCAAAGCCAACGGCAGCTGGCCTCCACCATACACATGGGAACGACCCCGGCGCTTCCCACGTGTGACCTCCTTTCTGCCTGCCGTAAGGACAAACCTACCAATCTTGCAATGATGAGAGAAGAGAGCCAGGCATAAGCTCCACAGGGCAGAACCACTCCTGGGCTGTTCTCTGGG